TTACTACACATGAGACTCATTTTGCAATGCCACGCCACTTTAAGAAAAGAGATGTACAGCTGTTTCGACAAAGCTTGTGCACAAAAACGTAAAAGCGTACGCGACAGGACCACTGTATCCGGGGTCCAGCTCGCTTGGCTTATTTTCTGTTTTCAAGCAAGACGAGGATTAACCCAGGAAAATGGAATAAAAGTTTGGACAACTGAAAGGAATGGCTCTGAACACTTTCTATTCGGCCACAAAAGTGAAAATCTACGGAAAAGAAGTAGGGCAACGAACCGATTTGTCAAAATGGAACGGCCAATTGCGGTCCGACCGGTCAGACCGAACCGAAACGGACCTTTCCACTTGACGTTCTACTGAAATTGCCGGAATTTTTTCATCTTATCTTATTTTATTTCAGGCTCTTTTTCTACTTTTCCACTGATTCTGTGTAAAGTGGAAGGCGGAAATAAACGCGTGAAAATCCAATTTGCTTGGACATGCCAAGGCTTATTGAAAGATGTGGCTCTGATTCACTTTTTGAAATGAAGTTAGACACTTACTTTAACAGCTGATCTAGTTTAATCACGTACAAAATTGATTGCTACTTGAAGATAGCAGTTAACTAAGATAGAAAAACACCAAGGAGATGATAATAAACCATAAAGGAACAAGAAATGAGAAGATTAACTCGGATTACAAACGATGAACCTGAACATTTTACGCTAAACTTTTCAAGACGAGCAAAGCATGATGTAGCTCATTTAAATATGCGTGGCTTAATTTACTCTAACTTTTGCCATAGTCTTCCTCCCTAGGTATATCAGTCGTTTCAGTCAAAGAGCTTTCTGTTCGCGCTAGAGTATTTAAAGCAAACGAAAATCCATCGTTACGAGTGCCTTTTTCCTTCCAAACATCTCCAGGCTCGCTGGGATTTTGATGGTCCGTCCACGCTCTCTTTTCGTTGTCCGCACCAATGGCTTCGCTTTGCTTCACTTGTTTCAGCTTGCATTCAGTGTCCTCTCTCTTGCGGATGCGCATGCAGTAATCGCCCTTTAGACTCCGGGAAATGCGAAAAGCCTTCTTTGCAGCCTTCCTGAATTCTTTGCTCTTAAACGAACACACTAAGGGATTAAACAGCGCATGCGAAAAGGCTAGTATCTCCACAGTAACAACGAGCGTCCCGAATGGGTCGAACTGGTCCATTATAGGTGTCACATGCAACAACTCAATGACTTTCAGGGGCGTTAGACACACCACCAACACTATAAATACAACTAAATGCATTCTTATGGTGCTCCTTCGCATTTTCACGGTGCCACAGATATCAAATCGTGACCGTGATCGAAATCGTTGCACAACGGTGCGGAGTTTTCTCGAAACTCTTGCGAACGTAAAGGACAGAATTACAAGAGGTATAAAATAAAGCAAAATAAAGACTGGCACATGATAACAAAGGAAAACTAGTAAGTAGTCATCTGGGCGCTCCTCGGTACAAACTAGTCTATCTTTCGACATGGTAGTTGAGCTGAAGAAGACCTGTGGCTGAGCCAAAATACACGCTGCAATCGAAAAGTAAGTCCGCTGTCACCATGTTGCAAAGCAGATTGTTAGTCACATTTCGCAGTTCCTTTACTCGATAGAATACAAACAATATGGCTGTGTCGACAACGAAAGCGAGAACAAGAAGCGTCACATAAAGTCCAAACCCAAAAACGTGAAGCCATTCGGGAAGCTCGTCTACAGAAAATATGCCTGAAAATCGGAGGTCTTCCCTTTGGTTTTGGTCTTTCGAGACTGATGGGTATAAATTTAGTTTGAGGTAGTTAAGGGCAATAGAACGTAGCGTTGCAACGCTACGTTCTATTGGCCTTAGCTACATCAAGAGGAAAGGCCCGACACCACCAAAACCAATGTTAAGAGCGATAGGTCAGCTAATGAAGAGAGACGATATTGTAATTACGCGACCAGATCAAGGCTCGAGAGTCGTGATCTTGGACAAAACAGAATATGTCAGCCTACTGAGGGAATCATCTATTAGTGATGAAACTAAATTTATACCCATCAGTCTCGAAAGACCAAAAGCAAAGGGAAGACCTCTGAAGCATTACCACCCACTACTCAAAAAGGAGAAGGATCTGTCCTCCATCGTGCAAAGAACTCTTCCGAAACCCATAGCCGACTCACTGATCCAAAAGGGTTCTAGGCTCGCACACCTTTATGGTTTGCCAAAGACCCACAAGAAGAAACTAGCGGTCCGTCCAATCCTGTCAGCAACAAGAACCTATAATTACAAGCTTGCTAAGGGGCTTCATGAAGAGCTAAAACCTTTGTCCGTCAACGACCAAACCGTTAATGACATCTTCTCGATTGCTGGTGATCTTCATGAGATGAAAATCGACGAACAGGACATTTTAGTGTCATACGATGTTTCGTCTCTTTTCGCAAACGTACCAGTGGATGAAACAATCGAAATCCTAGCGGAAAAAGCTTTCAAACCCGATTGATTCAATAAGGAATATGACCTCAACATCACAAAAACTGACCTTATAGAGCTGTTAGAAGTTGCTACGAAAAACCAGTTTTTCCAATTCGAAGGAAATCTGTGTGAGCAAGTGGACCGGGTTGCCATGGGCTCTCCCTTCAGGTCACTAATGGCAAATGCGTTTATGTACAATATTGAAGAAAAATTGGAAAACCAAAACAAGATGCCTGTTTTCTATAAGTGCTATGTCGACGACACCCTCAGCAAATGCCCGATGTTTCATCTGCCTCTGAATTCTTGTTAACACTGAATGAAATCCACCCCTCACTCAGCTTCACAATGGAATTCGAAGACAACGGCAANATGGTTTGCCAAAGACCCACAAGAAGAAACTAGCGGTCCGTCCAATCCTGTCAGCAACAAGAACCTACAATTACAAGCTTGCTAAGGGGCTTGATGAGGAGCTAAAACCTTTGTCCGTCAACGACCAAACCGTTAATGACATCTTCTCGATTGCTGGTGATCTTCATGAGATGAAAATCGACGAACAGGACATTTTAGTGTCATACGATGTTCCGTCTCTTTTCGCAAACGTACCAGTGGATGAAACAATCGAAATCCTAGCGGAAAAAGCTTTCAAACTCGATTGATTCAATAAGGAATATGACCTCAACATCACAAAAACTGACCTTATGGAGCTGTTAGAAGTTGCTACGAAAAACCAGCTTTTCCAATTCGAAGGAAATCTGTATGAGCAAGTGGACCGGGTTGCCATGGGCTCTCCCCTCGGGTCACTAATGGCAAATGCGTTTATGTGCAATATTGAAGAAAAATTGGAAAACCAAAACAAGATGCCTCTTTTCTGTAAGCGCTATGTCGACGACACCCTCAGCAAATGCCCGATGTTTCATCTGCCTCTGAATTCTTGTTAACACTGAATGAAATCCACCCCTCACTCAGCTTCACAATGGAATTCGAAGACAACGGCAAGCTTCCCTTTCTTGGAATAGTGATTACCAGAAATGGTCCCCGACTAGATACGAAGGTCTACGTGAAACCGACCGATACTGGGCTTTTACTGCATTACCAAAGCCATGTTGACCTAAGGTATAAACATTCTGTACTGAAGACAATGTTAAACCGTGCGTTCAAACTCTCCTCGAATTGGCAGTTCTTCCATCAAGAATGTGAACGTCTTAAAATGGTTTTTGCTCGCCTGCNTGATGGTGTTCTCTACGAGGGTTTTGGGATAATGCAGGCGAGCAAAAACCGTTTTAAGACGTTCACATTCTTGATGGAAGAACTGCCAATTTGGGGAGAGTTTGAACGCACGGTTTAACATTGTCTTCTGTAGAGAATGTTTATACCTTACGTCAACATGGCTTTGGTAATGCAGTAAAAGCCCAGTATCGGTCGGTTTCACGTAGACCTTCGTATCTAGTCGGGGACCATCAGAATTGTCTTACCGTTCAAAGACCAGAAATCGGCGAATGCGGTAAGACACCAACTCGGTGATCTCAGTCGAAAGATTGATGCCGTTGTCCAGCCTGTTTACACAAGTCAGAAGATCAAAGGACACTTCAAACCAAAGGAACATAAACCTCCAATTGTGAATCAACAAAATGTTGTTTATTATTATAAGTGTGGTCTATGCGATGCAGACTATGTCGGCTTCACGAGTCGACACCTACATCAACGTGTGGAAGAACATAAGCGATCAACAATCGGCAACCACGTGAAGGATGAGCACGGAAAGGATCCGGAGACCATTGGAAGCAATTTCAGGATTTTGAAAAAATGTCAGAGTAAACTCGACTGTTTGATTTTTGAAAAGCTTTTTATTCGTAAACTTCAACCAAAATTGAACAAACAGAGTGATTCGATCCGCGCGAAGCTATTTACTTAATTATTTTAATTATTTTATTTTTAAATCGTTTCTATCGCCTTAACGTTTTTATTACTCATGCCGCCCTTTTATTGTATTGTTTCTATGTAAATATTTTAGAGTTTTAGTCAGTGTCTCATTAGCCTTCCTATAATCGATTGTATATATTTGGGCGCATGCAAAACTTTTACTTTTCAACTTGAAAATGACCGTCGAGCGGTCGAAACGTCGTTGCATTTTAACGTTAACTTTTTTAGTGAAATCATTTTTCTTTGTTCTTTCAACATTAGAAACTTTTTGTAGCAACCCATGAAGATGAAATGCAGGCAGAAATGGTTCATATTAAAGATGAGTTAGACAAGACAGGTCATGAGCTCACTGAGCTCAGGAAAGCCAAGGTTGAACATATTAAAATCATTGAAGACTTGAAGGTAGGTTACAGTATTGTCACAGAGTATTCACAAAAACAAGTTAGCTTCAACAAAGTATGTCTGCTATGTTTAAATTTTAATTTAACCCCTGATAAGGTCGTGGGACATCAGTTTGCTTTTATTGTAAATAATTATTTAAAAGCATTGCAAGTTTATGGGAAGTTTCACATTTCTGCTAAGAATAAACTCTATTTTTGCACTTTCAGAAAGAATTATCTCAAGTGAAGAAAAGAAACAAGCAATTATGCTTCATTCTTAGTCAGGCAGAAAGTAAGTGAACTGTCAAAAAGTTACCTAAATAAATGGTTACCAGAGTGAGATTAAATTTTCAGTGGCCAATGTATGTCTTCACAGCAGAACTAAACTTATCATGAGTTCATTATGCAAAGCTCAAGCTTACCATTCGTTATTGCCAACAACATTTGGAGCCGCTATCGAATGCCGTGATGCTAATGAAAAGCGTTCTCTCGTATGTCTGACTCGTTCCCTGTTGGATGGATGTTATGATCGATGTTCTTTTAATGTTGTTTTATTATCGATTCTTCATAACTTACATAACCAAGACATGACGTTCGGCCCCACACAAGTTCTGAGAACTCTTGCTTTTGTCATTGTATATAAACAGTGTATTAAGCAAAAATAGCTTTCTTAAAGTAAACCTTCATTTGAGAGCATAATTGTGGAAAAGAAAGCGAAGTGTGTGTATTGTGATAAATGGCTTCTTCCAGGAGCGAGGCCAGCAGAACTTGTACTGAAAATGAATCTAAATACTGTCAGAACTGGGGTCTTACACTGAAGTTATGTGGTTTATAGAATGAAACGATGAGCAAAATAAAAGCAATCAAATACTATAGAAGTTAACTTTCTCTGAAAAGACAAATTAAAATGCCCTTGTCTGCCTTTGCCTGTTTTGCTATTTTGTATGCGTTTTCAACTATCCAAAAGGAGCATTGTCTTAAAATTGTCTAAATGATGTTTATTGTAAACTGATTTTTAGTGAAAGAAAAATCTGAGCTGCTGATGCAAATTGAAGAGCTAAATGAAGTTAAAGAGCAGGTGAGATAACTGTTTTTAAGTAGTGGTAAACACAAATACCAGAATCACACCAACCCACAATCGTCCATTTTGCTCCAAAGAAACGCTAACGCTCCGCGAAATGTTAGCGTTTTTCGAAAGTCACTAGTGAGCAACAAAATGTTTTTCATGTCCGTCGATGAATCCTAACACTTTCTTTAGAAATACAGTTGAATTTTCGCTAACAAACACTTTTAGGCCGGCACCTCTCGCATGCGGATACTTAGTAAACGGTCCCAGCCACAAACAAACACTGCATTTTTAACCTCTCATAAGCGGACACCTCTCTTCAGCGGACACTTTTTCTCTTCCCGAGGGTGTTACAGACTTTTCGTGAGCTTTTCACGTGCTGTGAAATTGGCTCTTACACCGCGCAAAAACTTCGTAATTTTGAAGAGTAAGAGCACAAGCTGAAATTTGACAGTCCAACCTTAGAAAACTGTCCTGTAGATTTGTTCAAGTTTTAAGGTCCAATGCAATTTGGGATCAATGTACAAAGCAATCGAAACATAAGTAGCTTGAGTATTTTAAATGTTATTTAAGTGCAATTTTAACAGATAGTTTACAGAATCTGCCCAACTTGTTTACTAATTCCTACATCAAGAAAAGATAAGGAAATTGGATGAGCGTTTGTGCACAACCCTTCATGACTAGCACCCTCTCTGGCTGTATTCCAAACATACGCCGGTTTTGTCATTTTACCCAGCTGGCTGGTATAAGCTTTAATTAAAATGTTCGTAGTGGGGTTTTCGCCAAACTTCTCAATGCAAGACATAAATGACAAGACAGTTCTAAACATAAAATGTGCGAAACAATAAACATGTAAATCGTCAAGTAGTCGTTTTATTTATTGCATTTTCTAGATGTTTGTACTGTCTTCTTGTTTTGACTTGTTCATTTTGGTCAGTGCACAATCTCGCTCTTTGCTTTACTTTTCTCCTGTCAAATTTACTGACAACTTCGAATTTACTTTACATTTGGAACTACTAGGTGGTACAGTTACACGCTGAACTAGAACAGGAAAGATCTAAAAACTCTGCTTTGAAGAATGAGATGGCCAAGGTGAGGGTTGAAATGGGCACGACATAGTTAACTAGCTAGCTATTTGAAATACTCGATATTTGGCAGTGCCATGCAGCTGAGACCCAAACCCACCGTTACTATCAAAAGTCTTCCCCCCGCCCCTTGCTTACTTTTATGGCTTTATTTTTAAGCAGAACAAATTAAACCGTTAGCTTAGGTTATTATTCTTCCCTTCGTCAGGCTCTGTCTGTCTAACGGTACAAAAGACCCCCTGGGGGAGACAGAGACTCCCATACGTAACCAGTCATTGAATTTTCTTTTGTAGTTATATTTTACAGTAATGATTACCATGTCTTTTGCGAAACTAAATCTTATTTTGTTTGTCTCTAGTCGTCAGGAGGGAGACAAAGACATGGTTCTTCCTGACAACAACAAAGTTAAATGCTGTTTATTTTATATGCGAGGACATCAAAATTATTTTAAATATGTTTCGTTTAAAAATAGAAAGAAAATCATACTTGTATTGCTTATGTCAACTGTTACATGGCATGTGTAAGTTATTCAATAAATAGAAAACATTTTCGGAATCCTTCTAGTGAGGCCTTGTAGTGGAGGGGATAACGAGAAATGCTGTGAGAACACGAACCGCGGGCGAGTGTTTGGACCTCAACGCCGGGAAGATCCCATGTAGTTGGAGAACGGCTTTTCCCAGGTTAGGTCCCGAACCAACTCGGATTGATCAGAGGATTCCCAACATAAAAATATAGAAATTAGAGAAGAATCGGACTTTAACCCAGTTCAGATGTCGTAACAATNCCCCCGCCCCCCAAAAGAAAACGATTTTAGAGAGCGATAGATTGGTAAAATAGCCTCACGTCAATAATGATCGCGCACAGACATCAGGTAATACACCGCGGAAGTGACAAGAGGCTGCTTTTATTAGTTTTTTATTAAGTATACTCTGGTATTCCAGTTTCGTAAAACTACCATTTTTTTACACCTCTGAGAAGCTTTGTTAGTAATCAAATTAACCGTTGCCTTAAAAAATTATCTTTTCACGAGCTTTTACTTGCGTTTATGGCCAATTAACTCTTTGTGCTGGCCAACTTTGGCTTGGTATTTTAGTTATATCTTGTGTATTTAGACTTGTTTCGTTCAGCTGACTTCTTCCTCATCCTCTTTCGGCGTCTTGACAGCTTTCTTCTATCAAGTCGTTATGGCTGTGTTAGAATGGATTCCACTTTCCAAAGTAACTAAGAAATAATCAGAAGCTCATTAAGCTGTCTCGTGAAACAGGTTTCTCATCTCTCAAATTTACGCTTCTCTAATAGAATAACATTGCCTTGCATAACTTGGCGAGATGTTAAAAATGAGTGAGAACTTGCGGATTGGCACTTAAATATCGGATTGCTGTAAAGCTCCTCGCACGTAAAAGAGCCGTAAATTTACTGTGAATACGTTACTATCAACAAAAAATCATTGTCTTATAACGAGGAACAAAAAAAGCACCATGTTTGTGATCCACATATAGGACGTAACACAGCAGTGGTCAACGACTTGGCATAAAATATTCATTGATACCAAGGTCCATTTCTGGCACAACGTCTTTTCAGACATTGTATGACTAGTATATAAGTGACAGTAACAAAAGCCGGGAGGCAAAGCATCTTACCCCTCTTGATGGTTACAAACGTCTTACATTCTCCACTGTAATTCCTGGTTAATCTAGTAGCTGGAATCAGCTTATTAACCATTCCGTATGACCGTCGAAGAGGAATTGTTCCGATAATAACAGGCAGTTCGACTTCTAAGTGAGATTCACCTTCACATTCACGTGTTGATAACATTACCTGCGAGAAGAAAAGAAAAGAAAAGAAAATCTCGTGATTTAATTATAATTCTGGTTAACACTAATTTGCAATAGGAAGTTGGAACGATTATGTGCAGTGGTAACACGTGAACTACACGTTGGTTATCTCGTTCCCAGATCTCTAGGTTTGTTCACAAGAGAACTGGGGACGAGATAACTACATTTTTGTTTTGAATACTGACAAAAGTTTGCTCCTACTGTATCGCCCTGAAGTCGAATGCATGTTAATGGAGATAAAAGAAATGTCAACCGTCGTCTTTCCGTGTTCAGTACTGTAAACCTGGCTTTACGTTCAGTCCAGTCCCTGACTTTCTACAAAGAAAAGCGACAGGTGTCATTAGTGAGGAAACGTCGTACAACTTGTCAATTCCTGTCCTTCCATCCCTTGTACCTTCAGTCAAGCTTGCGTTCAGTCTGTCAGTCCTCTGTCAGCCGTATATCTACCTTAACATGATACGTAATGGATAGAATCCCGCAACTCCTCATGGTCGGCGGGACATCCGGGACTTCCAACTCGTCAACCGCCCACGAGAGGGAAGAGCGCTGGACCATCTTTCGCTGGCAACGATCAGTCCTTGATTTTCCACAGCGAGACTTAAAAGAGATAGTCTGCACAAGGAATATTGTTGTTTGGTATGTTTGTGTCAGCGGCAGATTCTTGATATCAGTTGTCAGTATCATACGTTCACGTGGACAATACGCACTGCGGTCTGTAAACGCCAACAGCTTCAGTGGGGAGGCCATTCCATTGTATAAGCAGTTCAGTGATTTCTGAGCCTCGCCAAAAGTTGGCAACTAAAACGTAAAATAAGCAGTCATCCACTTTGAAAAGAGATAAAAGGAAAGTAAGCATATTTCCTGCTCTCTAATTTCTTATTTACCTCTATTGATACTCTCTTCCTTGATCTTTTCCTTGTTGCTCACAGGGCGCCCTCACATCCGTTTAGAATATGAATAAAAGATTAACCTAATTGATTAAACTACCTTTATCGCGCGTGTTTTGTGTTTTGTGGCGGCCATTTTGAATTTTTAATACGCGGTCTGCTAGTGCGAAGTCTGGAACCGAAATTACGGAAGTCTGGGACGGGCGGGAAAATTCGCAAATTCTCGGAGGTAGCCGATCGCTCCCCGAGGATAATAAAGTGTCATTTTCTTAGTGCTCCGAGCAGGCTTCGAGCGATTTCCATAATTTCGGTTCCAGACCTCGCACTAGCAGACCGCGCGCGTATTAAAAATTCAAAATGGCCGCCACAAAACAAAACACGCGCGACAAAGGTAGTTTAATCAATTAGGTTAATCTTTTATTCATATTCTAAACGGATGTGAAGGCTCCCTGTGGTTGCTGCGCCTTATCGGATAAATTCCAGTTTTGGCTGTATCACCTGATGTGTTGAGACCAATATATTTGAACTGCTGGTGATGAGAGGCCATCGCAGGTATATTCTGGTGTAAATAACTGCGACGACCTTTCAGGTCAGTATTTCATATATTCACTCATGTATCGATGTATGTCATCATCTTAATTCTCCGGGTTACTTTGAACACAAACAAAGTGATCTACTCCTAGTTGGCTTGCTAGTTCAGTTGCTATAGTATTGTATACGTATCGCTAAGATCATGAGTCTGAATGCCATTCTAGTTCAATTTTATCGTGCGTTTTTAAAAGGCTGCAGAGAAAATAGTGGGAGCGTTTTTCAAAGCTTCTGCTGAATATAACTTGAATTACTTAAAATTTGACGTGAAGTGAGACAGTATTTTCTTTCTAACACCAATTTCCATCTGTGAGCTTACCAAGACGCGAGGACAATTAACATCAATCAAGCTCAAAATTTTGACCAACTCCTTAGTAACCTCGTCGAATCTCCAGGGCCTGTGTATCCGCGCCTTCAGCCAGTATCTGACGTAACCATGTTTACTTTCAAAGGACGATGGGAGACTGTATGGAGGTATTTTGAAGCTAAACTGGAAGGCATGATGGCCAGGAGGAAGAGAGGACGTCTGATTTCTCTTTTTCTCCGCTGTTAAAGCAAGGACAACTGGATCACTGGATAATGCAATTCAAGGGTTTTAATTGGCTTAGCCATCATGGGTTACGAGCCATTATATCATGCTCTACAAATATGACTAGTAGTAATCAAAGATCAGGGGTGCGTTCTGCGCCTGTGATACTAGTTGTCTGTTGCTGAAATCATTATCTTCTCGTGTACGGCTGAAGTTTTACAGACATATTTAACATATAGACATAGTCCACTATTGTTCTGTGGATAAGCGTACGCGTGATTTTTTTGGGCGTTTTTATTTTTATTTTGAATAAATAAATAAATAAATTAGGTTAGTTTTCTCTATTTAAGGGTCGTTTTTGATAAAACAATTATTCCACTCGCGCTTATTGGATAAGAGATGATTATAGCGCACTCGTGGAATAATAAATCTTAGAGATTTCCGCGTAATCCAGTCGTTTGGATGTGCTGTTTCATTTGAGCACTTAAGAGCAGCTTCGCCTAAATATCAACTAGACTTGGAAATAGCGAAAAAATCGAATTTCTTCAAACTCGCCCAGAATGAAGCCCTACGGGCACTANGGCTTCATTCTGGGCAAGTTTGAAGAAATTCGATTTTTTCGCTATTTCCAAGTCTAGTTGATATTTAGGCGAAGCTGCTCTTAAACACGGTTGAGATGAAACGTTTTTTTCTAAAAGGAGGAAAGGAAATTTGGTATACCGGTGACTTTCACTTTTTTTGCGCACTTTGAGTGGATCAACTGAAACCTGTTGGCGCCCAAATATTGTGGATTTGAAAACCATAAAATCGATCAATTAAAAATTTACGTCTTCTCGTGCAGGTTCTCTCCTCAGTTACTAGCTCAGTGCATAATGCTATTTGTCGTTTGCTGTTGAGCATGCTAAGTTAGCCTGCTTGTTAGAGTGCCCGCAAGTGAACTGGTAATAAGGTTATATACCCACTGTTTGCTTTAATTAAGTCCTGTTTAGTTAGATGAAATGGCTGAAATTAGGAAATATACAAACAATAGCCTCCATTTGGCACGGAAATATGCTCGGACATTATCTGTTCCGAGAAGCGAGCAGAGCTCGAGGAAAACTGTTAGCTTCGAGCAAGAGATATGTCCAAGGAAAAATACTCGAGCATACTTTCAAACTTGGGAATATCACTCGGATATTCCTCGGTTTTTTTAGCTGGGGTATATTCAGTCTCGTGACGCGTTAGACCAATCGCGGGCGAGCGAAAATATTTGATGGATTATAAGCGTTGGTATGTATCCTTGTGTTACTCTTATGTTATCCGTATGCTTGCCATACGTTTCTGTATATATGAAATTTTTCGGAAATAAGATAAAAAGTGTTCGAAACGTCCGAGATAAAACGCCCAAAAATTAACGTCAGAATTTTTTTTGCAAGTAATGTATAATTAGGCTAATAAAGGCTCGACGGATGTAATGGAAACCTTTTATTATATCAACCCAGATTTAACCTAACCTGAATTCTAACCACATGGAGTTGAACATAAATTCACATTTTCAAAGTTGCTTCTCTATTTCAATTTTAACGAACACTTTCCTAAATAACAGATGCATGGTCGAAAATAAATAGCGTTATTAAAAAGCGGTGGAAGTTAATATATTTTTCTTCGGTAGCCAAAATATTTTGATCTTGACGACAGCTTATAAATTACAACTCCTAGTTGAAGTCGATATTCGTCATTTTCTTGATCATTTTCTAGTGAGTTTTCAACTTTTAAATTGAAGGGTTCATTAGCTATACTTGCAACACAGAATTTTGATGTTACTTCAATAAGATATAAAGCCATGCACTGAATAAAAGAAAGGTGCAGACCAAACTGATTACATTTACTGTACAGCTTTTAATAACGGAGAACATTTAAACAAACCGTAAATGTTGAATTTCGCAAGAAAACCTTCTGTTACACTATCCAGCGCGCACTTGTCTTCAAGGCTGGTTCACTAGACATTCGATTGCCCGCAACTAAGTTAAGCGGTTTAATACTTACAGTTTCCAAATAGTGTGGTTTTCTTATGGAAGTAGATCTCTGCATTTTTGTGCGTTGTGGTGTAAACATCTATTTCCTCCCAACATGTCCAAGACTCACCCTGAAACTCAATGCTAAGGCAGCGAAGTTTCATGTAATCACTTAGATTCAAAACACATTCACCGGTCACTACTTCGCCCGGATGATAGTGCTTGCCAGGGCGGGAGAGACAAATCTTCAGCTCTAAATTTTTTCCCATTCAATTTTGCATGTCAGGGATGGGCTCTTACTGAAGCTGCCTGGGCTATAAGTGTGATTTTTATGGTCAACAGTACTCTTGTGTTTCCCTTCACTGTTACGCTCTTTTTTCTTTTTGTTTTCTCAGCGCCAATCGAGAACCGAACTTTGAGGAAGTGCAAATAAATGCGACGCAGAGTATCAATCTTTCAAGCAGGTACAAAAAAACATTAAAACAGGTTTTAATCGATTTCCGTGAAGGAACTTAAGATACGTTTGCTTGGAATTTGATCACCACGCCTAAGAACTAGATTATTACTGGTTAGTACATGACGGAGATTGTAAACAGATACTAGGCGCGCCCTGTTATGCGTCCAACAGGTGGTTATAGTGTTGGTGCCAATAGCGTCAAACGCTTTTATATTCCTTGTTATTGATTAGATGCTTTGTTGAAGGAAACCCAATAATAAGTCTAGACTGTAGTGCCTTGGAATGAGCGGCAACTCGACATTATTTCCTTAAATTCAGGGTGGGGAGCTTGCTAGAACTGTATTCTGCTTACTTTTCTGTGTTAATACCAGATGACATCGTACTCACAACCGCTACTGCTATACCAGGGATGACAGCCTGAAATTGAGTCCCTTAATAAATTTGGGAGAACACTACATTGTGCGTTAAACGGCTTAGAAAGTAACGATTCTTTTATAACTTAACGGTATAGGCGTTATTTCTGTCTGATTTACAGCCACATCATTTGATACGCTGGCAGCCACCAGAACCTGTAATTTCAACCGTTTATTCTCCAGCAGGGTTAGTAAGGGCGTAACAAAAATAAGGACCTGCATGCAAGAAGGACCAACAATAACGTTTGTAACCGGCAGCAAGTCCTGTACAACTGCCAGCCTATATCCAGTCTCCCCATACCATGTGGGTGGTTATTTCTTGTCCTTCGATAATGTCAAATGGCTTTCGGAGTTGCCACTCATGCAAGTGATCTACTCCTTAGTATGTGTGATATTTTTCTCTTCGCATGGTAGAGAAATAACTGTGTGATATGTTGCCCTCCTTTTCAAAATGAAGTCAGATACACAAGTTATTATTCAGTCAAGATTCTTTATTTTATTCAACAGTGTCAGGATAGAGTCAGTGGTCTTACGCTCGTCTTAGTCTTCCGTTTCCATACTCTCAGCTTCTTGCATAACTTGTGAGATCTTTTGTCCAAGTTTTCTTTTCTCAACTGTAAATGAAAAGAAATAAAAAGTAAAATATACTGTCACTAGCTGTCTTTTCCGCGCAACGCGACGCATAAGACCTCACTTTCAAGGGTTTATTGTTTGGACAACTGTTTTCTGTTTTGAAAGCTAAGTGTGACATTGTCGCGTTGATGTTTGATTGCAAATCAAGAGAGGATGAAGGGCACCCATCAACCACCCTTGTTGCAAATCCATACCACCGCAACGAGTTGTTTGACTGAAAATAGAGTGGTAGAACTTGCAATTAAACACAGTTTTCGGGTCAATCTTTGAATGGCCCATTTCTTCAAAGACTGGAAAAGTGTAAACAAATCAAACAAGGCTATCCATTGTCGGATAGTGATATATTTGGTGGATTAATAGGCCAACAAACGAAGACAATATTAGTTACCTGTCTCCTAAGAGATTATGTGCTATGTTTTATTTGTCTACACTTTGACAATAGTCTTTCCAAATTTTAGTTTTAATGGAAAGTTAAATAAAATTGATGGCTTGGGATGAGGAAATTTAAAATTCCAGTAACTGAAAAATGAAAGAGGGGGAAGGGACATAAGGCAAATCTTATGACTACTGTGTTGACAAGACACAACTTATTGTGAAATTAGAGGAATATCTAGCTTGGCCTAGCAATAATCTGCTACACAAGCATCAGAACAGAATGCTATCTTGGGACCAGTTGGGACAATGGTTGAATATAGTCAACTGTTAATTGCAAAATCAACTTGTCAATAAAAAGTAAAGGCCCTTAACATTATTTTACTCTCACTACAAAAACTGAGAGAAATGACCACACGGTACGGAACTTTCTGATGAACCTGATGGTTTCTACCAACTGGGATGTCAGACTTACTCTGTACCTCAAAACATAGTCAACAAATTCCAACTGAAATTCCCAGAAAATTACTGTTTCACTTGCTTTCCAATCATGAGCAAAAGTTCTTAGATCTTTGGTTAAATCAGTACTACAGTGTACCTCCAGACTTTTTAACAATTGAAAACTCCCTAAAACGGAAGTTCTTTTATGAGGTGCTCCTTACTCCCCAAACAAAACATGTTTTCAGTTAGTTACAGACCTGGCGGTGCAATGAGTGTGATTCCTTGTTTGACCTCCTTCATCTCAGACTCCTTTCTAAGTTGTTTGTCAGGCTTTAACCTGGAACGTAACAGCAAAGTGTACAACAATCACCACATACTTTCTTAAATCAAAAAAATATACACAGAACAACAGCAGCAAACACCATGCTAATACTTCAAAGCTTTTTTAAACAATTCGTTTAAATCAGTTTTAAAAGCCCTAAACAACACCTTTGGAAAGGTTAATTTGACCAATGAAGGTATAGAAAAGCACTAATGACCACACAAAAAGAGCTTGTTAGCCTGTGGTTAAATGCCATGCTCTTCTATTGAATTAGGTGGGTCTAAATGAATACTACTGGATATGTTTTCTGCATGTGTCATGATAACATTTCAAAGAAAGAACTCTAAGAATGATAATGAAACATTACATTCAGTTCCAAAAACTAAGCAACTAATGATAAAAACCGGCAAAAACCCATCTGAACTCAACAATACAATCAACACAATTTGCCAGTGACTTTTGAGAGATTCATATTGAATTTCTCAGTCCGCCAGTCATCCAAGACAACTAAAATATCAAAAACTCATCCCCTAGACAAGTTTAGTTTGACTCTACCAGAAAAAAAAATTATATTTTCTTATGAGTTCCCTGCACTGACCATCTGGAACTTTTAGAAAACAGAGAACGATTTGCAGCTTTCTTTTGTGATAAAATCATAATTTTGGTCCATTATCTTGGATGATGCGGTATTTTCCATGTATGAAATCATTGCAGGCTCAATTTTCGTTTTGTCAGCTGTGGACGCTTTGTACTGCATTTGCATCCACAAAAACACATGGTGTGATTGCATCAGCTGTTTTGATCAGCATGTGGCTTTTACAATATGTAGTAATGTTAACATTACCAAACAACAAGGCAAATTGAAAAACGAGCAGGAGTGATTCAAGCGTTCCTTTCAGCCTTCATGGCAGTCAAAGGGAAGTGATGTTCTGGGAGACTGGCCACGTGAAAATAATAAAAAAGTAAACTTTTCTTTCACATGTTGTCAGTTGCCATTCTTCCCTACTGAACAGCCAAGTAAAATTTTACCTGGCAAGTATGTCACCTGACATACTTGCCTGGCTGACGACTTGGAGAAAAAACCAAAATTAATATGGATCCCTGCTTTTAGAAATATCAGCATCATGCGATGACAGTTACAACTGACCTGTTTTTGATGTGAAGATCTTGCCTCTTGCTTCTGATTTCTTCTATTCTCTTCATGGCTCTCACTAAAAATATTATATAAAATGTCTGTCAATTAAATACATTTTAAAATAGACCAATTTTGATATATTAAAATCCAGCCTAACACAATTTAGACCTCAGCATGAGGCTCTGGGGAATAAACTCACAAACTCTGTAGTTATTCCCTAAAGCCTTGTGCTGAGGTCTATTGTTTTAGGCTGAATTTTAATATATCGAAATTGGTCTATTACTGCAAACATTTGGAGATAAACTAAACCTGAAGATTAAAAGCAGAATTTTTGGACCAAGAGTTTCAGACAAAATAAATGAATGTGCATTGAGAGACATGTACTGTAGAGTCAATCCACTAAGTGTGATCAGCACAAACCCTCTGTCTTGCATGACAAAAAGAAACAAAACTACAGTATATAGTATATTGTAGTGAGCCACTGAGAAGATAATGTCAGGCTCCATTGGCATATATCTTTCAATCAAATCGTCAGCAGTTGGTAAAACTATTTTTATTTTATACTGACACCTCAGCTCTGTTCACCATTACAAACCTGTGTTAGACCACAGCTCACGGTTGTATTTCACTGGAACATTTCTTTTCTTTTCAAATTCAAATGCACTGTCCTGTAAATCAATCAATCAATAAATAAATGGCCATTGTAAGAAATTAGCACTGGGACAGGTGAGCTTTTCGTTGTTGCAAAGAAAAACTCTTTCTTGACTGATTGTGCTATCATACTACTAGTTTACCTAAATGGAACAAAATGCTCCCAAAGGGAAGAAGGATGTAAGGAGTGTCAATGCAGTGCAGGGTTGTTCCCATACAGAACTCAGGATGGTTGGTAACAATAACAAACTGGATTACAGCACTCGGCTGCATGCAGCACTAAGCCTCATTACATTTTCATTGTTCTCTTATAATTATGGACGAAACTCATGCTCTTATTCAAGTACACCTGGAGTTTCCAGAAACTTCATTGCATTGTTGCAAGGTTTCTAAATTCGAATATTACATGAGAAATACAACATTCAAGAAGGTTTTAGGCCATGGATGAATGACTTCCGGTTTGAGATTTTTAATAACAACAAGCCGTAATTTTTGCTAAGGATTTGAATGAAGTACATGTATATTCTTCCAAAATGTTGAGTAAAGTTGTGCAGATAAAATATATAAATGGTACCGCTAAAATATGCGATTTTTAAAATAATATTAATTTCAACAGATTACAAATAACACTTGATGCTTATAGAAAAACTCCTTTCATTTCACAAAAATGTATTCTGAATGGTCCCTACAATGTGACTAAGTTTACAAAGAAAAGTTTATACAGGAAAACTGGAACGATAAAAGAAGCGTCAAAAATAGCAATGTATGCATTGAAAATTGTCACTCGCCTTCGTACACTGTGACCAATGATGCAAGAGAAAGTACAAGATCAGACTGCGCACCTTAATTCTGCCATTCGCACATAACCACAATTCCTTGTGCCTGTGATCTTACCGATACCACAATTCCTTCTGTTACGCAAAATGTGCTCAAGACCCCTAAAATGTGGCCATTTCCCAATTAGAGAGCTGCCTCATTCACTTCAGGCTCACTCACTGCAGCAGCAATAATTTGGACTTCTTTGTAAAAAGAGTTACTTCAGCTCAACAGTTGATTCAAACAATGCCCTATCGTCAGCTTGAACCCAGTTGTTTAATCTTCGCTACTGTTGTTGCTACTTCTATATTTTACGTAACGTTATGTACTTCTTTGTCACATTATTTTTTAACCAAAACATGGTTGTTTAGTACTCTACGGAGTTGCTCTGTTGTTGTCCCTATATTGAGATGAATAACACCGGTTTCGTCCCATGGCAAGTTCGCCCCCACCGAGTTCGCCCCCACTGTAAAATTTCTATTTCGAGTTCGCCCCAAAATTTTGTGTTCGTATTTACGTGGTTGTTATCGAGTTATTAAACGTTTTCGAAGAACCATTTCAGTCTATCTATGTTTGATAAGCTTAGATGATGATTGTTGCAGCCGGCGCGCACATAGCAACAAATTAAGTCAAACGGTTACCGGTCATCTCGCCACCACCAGGGAGTCTCGCCACCAAGCGAAGTTTCCTCGCCAAGGCAGTGGATAAAAGAACGAGGAATAATCTCTATATGCGACTCGATCTGGTTGGGGGCAAACTCGATCAAGTACAGTTGAGTCGATGTGGGGGCGAACTCGGTGGGGGCGAACTCGCCATGGGGCGAAACCAGCAGCGACCATTGAGATTGTAGATTGCTTTTTACTTACTATGGCAAGCTCTTTGCCTGCTGCCTTTCTGAAGGCTTTGGTCCACTTGATTTTACGTGGATTTCGTTTCATCTTGAAGTTCTTATGGCATTTGGAACGGCAAAATCTAAAGATCTAAAATGGAATTATGTAGCAATGCGGTGTAGATAAAGAAAAAGCAGAAAATAAGTGATCCTGTGAAACTAAGAAAGTTGTAGAATGGTAGCTTACTTTACAGTCGTTCCTTACAAATACTGTTCCATGTCCTGGATATATTGTGGACGAACAGAAATAACACTTCTCAAGACGCATGTTGCTTTGAAAAGAAGTCCGGAAAAAAGGAAAGTTTCAATGATGGCGCAACAATTAGTCAGCGGAGTGGGCATAAAACGGTAACTATGTAGTGTAACAATCATGAAATTTCTCTCGTCAACTGTCACGCTTAGAAATCGAGAGCGAATACGGTATAATTGTTTTAGTATAACCGTTCAAAACTTCGTCTAAATCCTCTTCAAAGACACTTCAAGAACGCAAGGAAGCGGTCACCAGTTTGTTAACAAGCGCAGACTGCTACGCTGCTCACTGTCTTCAACAGAATAATTATTAAGAAGCCCAGCCAATCAGAATAAAGAGGAAAAAGAGGAAAAAGCAGTGAAAGTGTGGGACTAGAAACCACCTAAATGGCCATAAATTGGCCCAGAAACCTCACGAGAAACAAGAAAACATACACCTGGAGCGAGGTAGGTTTATTTTTATTCATACCCCTTTGTATTTTTTAAGTATATGAATATAACCGTTTTTCCCATAAAAATCCTTGTATTTCGACTGTTGCGTAACCCCGGCCCAATGCTACTCATTTATGAAACGCATATACAGAAGCTCATTTTCCGAGCTTGGGCAACCTGACGTGATTTGTACGTTATGAGGCAACCGGAGATGACAACAAGAGACAAAGGTAAACTTTCCATTCTTTTGATTCTTCCATCCTACTCAACAAGATATATACTCCCTGTGCTGGAGATTAAAAGCACTGGTCAACCATCAACCCTAAATGTCATCCCGGTTGGCTATGTATATTTGTGAGTTTTTTTGGACAGGGGATTTTGTGGGAGATGGTCGCTTATCAAAAATCTTGAACATAGAAAAATTACCACCAAATTCTCGATAGGAAATCAAAAACTGAGGATTGAAACTGGAAGATTTTATCGTTGCTCTCAACTATCCGAAATAGTCGCTGTTGTCGCAAGGTACTGGCTCGTCACGCACCAATTGCGTGACGCGTCCACGAGTTGCAAAGGGCTTGCAGGACTACCTATTTTGACGGCAAGTGTCCGGTGTTTCTACTTAGGCGAAACAGCCGTAAGTAATTTTGAAACAAATACTTTCGTTGTATGAGTCAAATTGACGACCATTCTCTCAGTCACATCCTCTTTCCACCCCTTGTCTGCCTTGTTGACCTTGTTTAATACACGTCAGTTGAAATTTCAGTTTCCCAGCAAATTAAGACAGTTTTAGATCCTGATCGCTTCCACAGGCGAACTTAAGCCGAGGAAGTTCCATACATCGCAGTAGATTTTCCTTTCACACCAAAACACACAAATAGCAGAAGTCTTACTGTTCTGGAGGAAATGATTAGTGGAGCGCACCTACTCACTCATTTACGCAAATCCGGTTTTAATAATCTCTAATACCGACGGTAAAAAAAAAACCATGGCACAATGGGCCATCATTTTGATAATCACATGTTCTTTGTTTCTACAAAACCGTAGGGTTCCAAAAGGATGTCTTTTGCGAAATCTTGTTTACTTTTCTTCATGACCATAATTGTCTTTTTGAATCCAATATCCCGCCTCTTTAGAGCACGTGACCAGTCTTTGTTCCGCTGTAAACCTTGGCCGCGAATTTGAGATGTTGCGTACTTTCCGGTTAGAATAATGCACCAAGATTTTGCTTCTGATGGTTAGGAGGATTGTTTTGACTGTGGGAAAGACTGAAGTATGGGTAAGTGAAAACTAATACAAGATTTAGGGGACTGTTTCACCTTGTTCAATGTATAGTGTCGTTGTTTATGTACCGTATTGCCGAGATCTACGATCGTCATGCTATACAACGAAACACTACTACAAGCTTACTACCAGATAGTCGAAAGAGTGGACACAAGAAAAAGCTTTTTCTATCAAAAACGTACGATCTTATTCTAATTGTCAGTTCGTAGCTGTAATCAATTTGGATGCAGTTTCCAGCAAGGCTTTAAGTCCTTTAAGTTTTGCAAGGCGCGTTCAGACAGCTTAATGTAAGCTTCTTTAGCTACGTGCAACGAATTTTAAAACCTGTATATTATACAAATTTACACCCTATACTGATTTGCAAAGCAAGAAGTCTTACAAAGAATAAGTTTCCTTTTCTCTACTGGCAATGCCTGTTGATGGCTACAACAAAGGGAGTCGAAGGCTTCGTTTTCGCTAGTGCAAACGGAATTTAACTAAGATTATAATCTTTTACCTTATTATTAGTGCGCTAGGTTACAGTCCATATGATAAAATTTTGTGGCAGAAAACCATAAGCAGTGTCAGGGTTTTTATTTTTTATTTTTTCAAACTCGAAGTTATGGTTCTTATTTTCATGATAACAACGAAGCGTTTACACTTTCTAACCAACATCCCGTCATTTGGACTTGTCAACAAAAAGCACTGTCATTTTGAAGCCAAGTCAATCATCGATGGAGCGAAATAAGAAGTAGTCTTGCACTTAGAATCGTTTTTTACGAGTAACAGAAGTACCTAAAATAATTGAAACAGGATAGATACCTAAAATAGGCCATATACTGCAGCCGGTTGTGGCTGATTGTATGTAATCTGTCTGCATGTTAACCCATGTCAATGCGTGTGTTACCTGGAGGTGCTTGTATTCAGGCTTGCTAGGACTATTTCTGTGTGTTGTCATTTTATGTGAGTCAATCTAGAGATTGCATTGTAAGATTCCATTGCCGAGGAGATCTTTTATTTCAGTCTTCCTTAATTTTGTGTTGGTGAGTATTTTACATTTGTGTGCCTGCTGTCACCCCATGGCGCGAAGCCGCAAATACCGGATAATTTGCGTGTTTCCATCTTCTTTGAGTGGCAAAATCTCGAAAGATACCAAATATTTAATGAAGTTTTGAAGAAGGCATTTACGTTTCTTGTGGATTTTGCATTGTAAGCCAGTTTAAACGTGAACAGCTTTCGGTTGGTATTTCCTATTTATTTAGTGAGCCTCGGTCGCTAATGAAGCGAATAGAATTCCATCACTGGCGCGTGGATGTCGTGCGAATGACAAGATGCCTAGGCTTCGAACAATTAAGTTTTACGTACATGTAGTATTTAGTATACCACGTTTGCGTGATCATATACATCTTTAAGAGAACGACTCTTTTTTGCGGGGTGACAGAAGAAAATGAGGGCGTGCATGTTTTGGTTTGAGAAGGATAGGTTTATTCATAAATCAACTTTTTGCAAGTTGTTGAAGGGTCAGTGAGTCAAGAGTACACACAGTATCTTACATGAATGGCATGACATGTCAAGGATGGGCTCTGGTTAAAACGGATTGAGAGATTGCGGAAAAAATGAGAACAAAAACATGCATGGACTTTATGACAGTATGAATTTTCAACACACAGAGCACATTGAATTTTTAGTTGTGGAATGAGAGATATATGTTTAATTGTCTATGGCTTCATTTTATGCAAAGCCGTGTCTTTGAATCCAGTTTTGAGACCGATTGTGGTATAAGCTTCAGTTGAATTGTTTTGCTTTTGATAAGGAAGAATCCTGCAGGGTTACCCGAGAAACAAAAGTGACTGCCTTACATGTCATCACCAGATATGTAAAAGACAGGACAACACTTTGTTCCAGCTTGAATCAATGGTTATCACTATTGAAGCACTTTGTTTTGTAGGAGTCTTATTCTGGCCTTACAGTCCTTATTTGTTCCATACAGCCGAAGAAAGGGGTCCTTCAGTCTGGAATTCTTTGAAAAAGTCTAGAAATCTGCAAACCACTTTATTTCCAAACTTTGTGCATGGATCAAAACTAAATATTAAGTCTGGGGAAGTGAAAGTGAGTGTAGAGGTCTTTCAAAGAAGCAACAAATGCTTGATAATGGCTAGCTAGGAGAAATGTTGGTCAGCTGGTTGCAGATTTCAAGAAAATTTCGTCTTGGAAAAAAGAACAGAAAAGTCTTGAATTTTGTAGACAAAAATGTGTATTCATAAATAGCAGACAAATATCACATTTGGCTCTAAATTTATTCATACAAATAATTATGAATGTTTTTAAATCAGGTGGTGACATCATTGGATAAATGCCAATTGATGTATAACTCTTTAGTTCAGCCAATGAGAGAACTTTTCAAACTGGAAATTTATGTCATTCAAATGTATTTACTGTACAGTACTGGTTGAATTTTGTTTCCCACAAATTATATATTCTGGTCGTCATACAGGAGTATTTTTGTAGACTGTGTCAGCCTAAAAAAAATTACAAATAAAAAATAACCATTTGTTTCAAAAGGATTGTGGCTATCTTGAATAATTTCTGGTGATATATTCTTTTGCCATGAATGGCTCAAGTTAAGCTGTTTTCTCTTTGCTTTGTATGAGTTCTGTTCACATTGTTGGAGAGGATATTTCCAAGTCTTTTAACCTGTTTCCCGTGTTAACGCTAAGGACCTTCAAATGAAAACTGCCTTTAGTTAGTTTTTTTCACTAACCTGCAATGATCAAATTAACAATCGATTATTTTCTCCTTATAATTACATGGATATGAAGAATCATTCAAAAATGTGGAAACTGAACAACAGGGCTGGGTTGTTTGAAAGCCGGTTAATGCTAACTCAGGGTTAAGTTAACTCAAGTATTAATTTTTCTTGTTTAAAAAAATTGTTTTTCACTGCTTATGTTTTGTGTAGATTGAGATTATTCAAATTAAAATGAAGGACAGACAATTTAAACACAAAACCACACTGAAAAGTTACAAAACTGAAATCAAAATTCTTGCTTATCCTGGGTTAGCTTAATTGGGCTTTGAACAACCTGGTCCAGGTAGGTCTAGGTATACATGTGCAAGAAAGCAAGCAGCCAAAAGTAATATTTTTCATTTCTGAAAGTCTTTTTGACAATTTATAACCTCCTTAGGCCCACTCTGTGCCAAAAACCATGTATCACAAAGGCAGTGTAAAGTGATCATATTATTGCAGATTTTGCAAGGGAAAAGAAAAGAAAAAATTTGAACCTTTTTTTTTTTGCAGAAATTTCTCAGACCTTAATTTACATGGAAGTGTATTTTATTGTAAAGATGTACAAAAGCAGCTGCTGAAAACACATGTAAACAGGAAGATAAAACGTGTTAATTGAAATTGCCAAATTCCGCTGTTGCTACAACACAGTCAAGCTACATGTACCTGTTTTGTTTTGTTGTGCCTTGATTGAGTGATAAACTGTTAATAGCTCTTATTAGTTATGAGACCATTTGTTTACCATGGATGATTGCACTCTCTAAAAAAATTTTAGATTGTGTATTCCTCCAGGCTAAGGTCCAAAGCGATCCTGTTGTCACTTTAATTCTTACTGTGCAATATACTATGAGATGTTTGCTCTTTTGCAGGTTCCATTGACTTTGCTGTATTATCTTCTGTTCACTTTCTAAATTATTTACATAATTGTATAATTCTGTCTTGAATAATCAGTGTTGGAAACTTAATTTTGACAGCACTTGCCATTTGGGCAAGTGACTCCCAAAATCCACTTGCCTGGTATAATTTTCAGTCGCCTAGAAAGATGCCTCCCTTCCCCCCCAAAAAAATCCGCAATGATTCACAAATCATGTGGTTTTTGGTATCTCCTAAACACGTATAAGCCTAGGTTCAGTGCTATTTCATGTTGAGCTTTCTCATTCTGGTCCATTTACGAGAGGCCTCCTAATTAGGATCATGGACCTATTTTACTGTTTCCTTAGTTCTTAACTGAAAAATGCTAAACGAACAGCTTGCACTACTGAATTTACGTATATCTGTAGAATCAAGACATTGAAGTAAAGAACTTTTTGGGGCATGGAAGACTGATATTTTTTCCTTATACTAAAAGACGTAAAATCCAAAGAGAACTACAATGAAGGCACTTTTAAAATGATTGAAGGGGTGAGTACAAAACCATGTTAAGTGATGATTTGGGTGAAAAAAAAAATTTTGTGAAAGGGCTTGAATTCTTGCATGTGGTCTTCAATGTAATAGAAAAACGTGGTCCTGTATTTTTGTCACTGGTTTTTGCTTCGTTTATAAAGACGCTGCTAGGAAAACTGAGTGGTTTTTCTACATACGTAATATTTTGAAAACGAAGCGAAGCTTAGCGGAAAAACTACGGGACATTGTTAAACATACCTAAACAAAACTGCATGCAAAATTTGGAGTGTTTTCGACAAAGTTCACTTTTCATTAAAATACCTAACGCCCTTTTCCCGCCAAGGCCTTCAAATAAACGAAGCCGG